CCGGCTGATTTCACGTCCTCTACGAATGAACTCGACGAAACCCAAGCATTATAAATATAATTACGCATGCGCATATGCCTTACAATAACGTCATACCGTTCCAAGTAACTCGTCGTCGCAGATCTAAAACTCGCTAATCTATTTCGCCATGACAACATACAATTTTTACTATGTCGACTTGTCAAGATAATGTATTTCGCCATGACAACATACAATTTTTACTATGTCGACTTGTCAAGATACTGGGACTTTTAGATTTGCACGTCGACATAGTGGACTGCTACGTGACCGGGTCATTTTAAGGCACTGCGCATGCGTTACGTCGTCTCCCTCGTCCCCACTGCGATTTTTTTTTCCGTACGAAACATTTGCATGAAACTTCACTCGGGCCATCTCGGATTGACTCGAGTGAGTACGATACGAGGAACAAGAGCAGACACTTCGCAATGTCGTGACGCTCGAGTTTTACTATTATTGCTCTTTCTATGTTTACCTACGGTAGGCCTATGAAATCTCACGGACTTATGTGATGTACGTGTGTAATTAACTGTGACCTTCTTGGATGTTATTAAATGTTAGTATATTATCTACAACAACAACAGCTAGTACTTCCTCTTATAAAGTGTAGATAGGTACAGTAATAACAAAGGCTAGAGAGAAAGAGGCCTAAGTCTGTCTTACCTAGGCCCCCTCCTTAAACTAGGCCTAGGGTCATAGGCTGACACCAACATACTGACATTGACTGAAATTTTGGGGGAAAAAATAGGACAAAATTGAACTTTCATGAAATGAAAAATACAGCGCATAAGAGAAATATTATTAAATAAATAATATACCATTCCGGCGTTATTGAACTTGTCGAAACTATCATTGTAATGTAATTAATGTTAAATAATAATAACAATAATAATCATTTCAGCATTAATTACCTTGGCCTAAGCCTTGTAATGAAGAACCTACAGATACCGTACTATTTACTAGGCCTATAAATAATAATCACCCAAAGGGAATATCTTTTGTGTTATTTCCCCTTAACGTCGTTTGTTCTCTAATTCCTCCATTGTCTAAGTTCCCCTTAAGGTACAGGTAATAATAATAATAATAATTTCAGCATTAATTACCTTGAAGGCTTGTAATGAAGAACCTACAGATACATTTACTAGGCCTATAAATAATAACTAGCCCAAGGGGAATATGTGTTATTTCCCCTTAACGTCGTTTTTTAAATTGTTCTCTAATTCCTCCATTGTCTAAGTTCCCCTTAACGTACAGGTAATAATTAATAATAATAATAATAATAATTCGGCATTAGGCCTATATGTAATTAACTTGGTCTAGCCTTGTAATCAAGAACCTGCCGATTACCTATGCATTAATAACTAGCTCAATTTTTACATTCATTGTGGTGCTCTGCCATTTTGGCAGGTCTTATGGCATCCAGTATTTCAGAGCTGCCTATTCTCAGCTCTTCTCTTAACTTGAAAATAGCTGTTACCCTGTTTCATCTGATGAAGAAAAACGCGCTTTTCCTTACTCTTTGTGCTTTTCCCAGAAAGCGTTTTTAGTACTTAGTAGGCCTAGGTAATTATGCAAAACCCAAGCCTAACAAAAAAAAAAATTAAAATTATCATAGTATGTAACTCAAGTTAAAATAACATTTTTCATTACTCGTGCAGCTTAATCATTATATATTATATGTCATTTTAAACGACCCATTGGTATTAACATGGTAACATCAATGTATTTTTAAAAATTAGATAGCGACGTTCTCTCAGAAGTTGTTTTGTAGACGTTTATCTTGTTGATGACCTTTTGACCTCCTGAATTCTGCAATGAGATTTTCGGGTCGATTCAGCCGAGACGGCCCGAGTGGAGTTTCATGTAAATGTTTCGTACGGAAAAAAAAATCGCGTCCCCACTACCAAAATCGAGAACGTGTTCACCTCGTTTTTCCCGTCGTCCTAAATCTAGGACGCCGTGCTCGCTTGTGAAGTTTAAAGATGGAAGATGAAAATATAGTGGCAACGCTGCCTTCACTAATTCGTCCAGGCAGAGACAGAGTCTGGGGGAAGTTTCTAACTTGTGTTGAATTAATCTGTATTATATGCTTTTTAATGCACAGGCAGTTATGTAATTTCTACTGCCTTCGTAAACACAAAAAAGGCTGTGGAAGTTCATGAGCGTGCTTACGCCAGTGTGCATGCAATGCAAACTTGCACCGCAGCGAGCGCAGCCGGCCGGGGAGGCCTGTTAACTATCTGCATCATCTCAGTTGACGCACCGGATGCGCCCTGAAGTATGCAGTACATTCATCATTGTTGTACTTGTCTAGATCACATTTCTGATAATCTCGGTACCTGAATTCGGCATTTTTGGGTTTATTTGTATTGTATAAAAACATGAATTCCTCATCGTCCAAGTCGACTTGCCAAGATAACCTATCTCGTCATGACAACAAAGCATTTTTAATATGTCGACTTGTCAAGATAATCTATCTCGCCATGTCGACATGATATGTAGGGCTATAGTATGTCGACTTGACCACATAATTATCTTGACAAGTCGTCAAGTCGAATGGCACTTAGGTGCTTCCGTAGTGACGTTTCTCTCTGATGAGATAACAAGTAGACGTATGTCATATCACTGCAAACTTTTGATTCATGATGGAGGACGATGTCGCAGTGCTTCTTAATTTGGCAAAATTATCTTCTACTGGGGATGTAAGTAATCCATGGATCGCAGTTGATCCCAGCAGTTATTTGCAAACTATAGAATTATCCATTATTGTGGATCAAATTCAGTGGATAATTAGGTAATTAATTAATTAGCCTATTAGCTAGGCCAGGGGAGCCTAAGCCTAGGCTAGGCGAGGCCGCCAGCCTTCAGTCAGGCCGGGCGTATCCAGGAAAAAGGAAATAATTTTTCAGTGACCTGTTCAAAAAAAAAAAAAAAAATCCTATATTGAACGAAGAAGGAGAGGTCACCCTCAACAGGGAGATTTATGTTTTTACAACTCCCTGCCCTGAATACCCCATGGATATACCAAAGGGATTCGCGAAGCCGATGAAGATTTGCCAGTTGAACTGCGTAGACCACAGTACCTGAGTGTTGAGTAAGATACCACGGTCAGTGTATTCAAATAGTGCGCGCGAACATGGGGAAACCCCAGATCACAAGTTCACTGACGTGTCAACATGGACGTTCACTTAAATCGAAACTTTCAGATAACCAGTGGACAAGTACTAGTCGACTGCTCGGATTTTCCACTCACGCGGACGTGAAAGCCGTCCACGTCCACTCAAATCGAAAAGTCCTTATTGTGTTGGCAAACCTCGCTTGGTCTGGTGTAAGGCAGGGGGTCATGGGTCTTGGTATGGACTGAAAAAATTGCTCCTGCACATGGGACAATAATTGGTGTGCTCCCTCGTCTCTGTTCCTATTGTCTTTTTCCTTAACCATACAGATTTTTATTCATCTATTGTGGAGATCAGTTTCCCCAGTAACTTGTAGTATTTCCAATCTGGGATGTGGTTGTTTGTGACCATTATGTCCAGTTATTGCTGATTCGGGGTTCCCCTCCCAAATTATATATTTTTTTAAAGAATATCAACCTCTGGATGGCCGAGAATGGCACTCTCAGACTGTGACAGACACGTGTTGGCTTGGTGTGGGCCTATTTCTGTATGTTTTTTGGTCTGACTGCCCGACGAGCTCTGTCCAGCAGGGGGGGGGGCTTAAGCTCCCCTGACGCCGCCACTGTTCGTAGCCCTTTATTTATATTTTTGAACTTTATTTCTATGTTCACGTTAAGCGGTCAGACTTTATACTATTGGTCACAATAAGCACATAAAACTCCACAAGGTGTTATTTGCTCATGGAATCTTGTTTTACGGATGCACTTAGTTGATCTCTCAACTAATTTTGATGTCTGAATCATGTATTAATGCTGTGTGTGCTCATACATCGTCACAGTACATGGTCATTCCGTCGAATCGTCAGTCTTTAGAATCATAAGGCAGTGTGGGTTGGATTATTTAAGTACAGTATATAAGGTGTCTAAAATACATTACATGCTGGAAAAAGACATCCATTAAGAATATAGGCCTCCCAATTCTATTATAGCTAGACCTAGCCAAGCCTTATCTGTATAAAACTATGATCTTTTTCTCTTAAACAATTAGTTATAAGAAAAAATAAATAATGTGACTATTAAGTTTTTATTTATATATTTAGCATTTGTTTTGTACCTTTAAAATTTAATTTTAAAAAATGATTTTATATTTTATTGATTTGAAACATTGTTAATTGTTATTGTATGTTTGAATAAAAAAAAAATTCAATTCAATTCTAGTGTAAGTCAATTCTTTAATGTACCCACAGCAACACAAAGAAAGTAATGCGTGACTAGATTATAGCACAAAAGATAAATGTAAAGAATTATTAAATTTGCATAATTTCCAGGCATCACAAGCGTTTCAAGACTAGTAATTATTATTAATGTAATAGTGTCATTTAGGGGAATCTATGTTAATTGACATCATTATATTGATGGCTGATGTATCATTAAAGACATAATCTGAAAATGACCCAAAAAAGTATGGTAATATGTACATATTGTATTACAAATACTGTAGGCCTTATGGAAAATAATACCTGCTAAAGTCTGTCAGCAGACACTATTTATATATAAGACATTGATAAAAATAATATTTTGCAACACCCAGAACCATTGGTTGTACTTTGTCACTAGTTACAATATATTATACAGGTAAACAATTTTCCATTTAATATATGAATAATGCTAATACTTTACTTCATTTGCACAAGAAAAATGTTACACACTTCCCATGCTTTTGAAAAATCCAGCAATCGTTCCCTGCTACATTTATGTCTCATTTAAATGTGGATTTAAGAAAAACAAATCAAGGAGGCAAGCCACACTCAAAGATATTTGTCAAGGACTTGTATGCACTAACAGGGAGCAGGTTTATTTATTTATTTATTTATTAAAAATTTGTCACTAAAAATTTAAAGTCAAGGTTATCTTTAACTGTGGTGTTGTGCATATCTCCACTGTTTGCAAATGAAATGTACTGCACACATACATTTCAGTTTTTAATTTTCACAAGTGAAGATGACCTTATTTCAGCAGTAATATTTTCAGAAGTCTATGTAATATCATAGGTCATGAGCAACCTCTTATCCTGTGCAAATCGTGTACTGTATTGTTTTAAGTTGACAGTACAAGATTATGGAATAGCAAAAACTCAGACTGCCATGATTTGTGCATGCACACAGTGAAAAAAAAAGGTATGGAGCAGGAGGTAGGTGGTGAGCATAGGGCATAGAAGCAGCACAACTGTGATATGAACGACTTTTACGTTCGTTTAAAGGTCGCTCTCTAGCGCATGGTTGTACTTTTGAGATAGTGCTGCGTTTCAATGAAACACCCAAAGTGGGCCTCTTGCCGTTTTATACTCTTTGATATAGCCCACTGGTATAGAGGTAGTTTACGAAACAAAGACAGCATCAATTGAATAAATAGGTATAATGTATTTTAAAGTAATTGTATTGTAATTATTTATGCGCAAAGACAGTGTACCTCACAGCTCTTATCTGATAACAAAGATATCTTGTATTCTTCCAAATAAGCTACAGGAAAGAGCTCTTCATTTAAAGGTCTTTTTACAATGACTAATCTCTTGTCAGTCAATATAATATATCAATGAATCAATCATTTAATCAATTAGTCATATAATCAATTAATCAATCTGTCACAGAGTGATTATTATTATTATATGGAAAGACTGTATATCTTGCAGATTATTATTATTATTATTATTGTTAATGTTATTATTACCATTATATGGAAAGACTGTATATGTTGACCTAAAGCTCATACTTTTCATATACACTTTGTGTCTTACCTGGATATCTTGTATGCTATTTTAATTATGCATATGCAAATTACTTATGCTAATTTTGGATGATTGAGAGGGGTGGACTGTGTAGAGGTCAGTTGAGGAAGATTGGCTGAGCGTGATATAGCTCAAGGGAGGCCAATGATTTGAATGCCCAAAAGATAGGCCTAAAGGATTGGAATTATCCTTGATTTGAAAAGTATCCTGCAGTATGTGGCTAAGTGTGTAGCCTGGAATATACTGTGTTGGAATTGAGCCACCCAAGTTTTATGAAAAATATTACAGGAAACCATGGTGGAATTGAGACGCTTGAGTTTTATGGATAATACTGCCAAGAAAACTGTGGTGGAATTGAGACGCCTGAGTTTTATGGATACTGTGCTACAAGAAACTATTGTAGGAAAGCTGGGGGAATTGAGCCGCCCAAGTTGATTTGTTGCTACGGTAGAACCGAGCAGACGTAACGTGTCGTGAGAACATTTTGGTTATAAACGGGAACATTTCCGTTCGATATTTGTATAATGATGATTCTGTGTTAATTTTATATTATACATTTACTTTTCATTGTTAAAGTCGGAAGATTCAACGATTAAATAGATAATCTGGTGTGAATTGCAACAAGTTGTACTCAGTCATTTCATTGGTTGAAAAACACAAACAGAGCTTGTGACACAATTAATCAATCATCATCCACCAATTAATCAATCAATTAATCAATCATCTCAACAGTTGAAGTTAAACTTTAGAATTTGCTTGACGATAATCTAAAAATATGTAAATGCCTTTCTCAATTCAAATGAAACTATAAAGAAAAGATTTCTCTTAATTTCATTACCAAACTAAAATCAATTCCTTTTTGGTATATGTGTTTACTTTTTTACTTTTACTTTTTTTAGCCTTTTGTTTTAAAGAAAATGCAATAAGCATTATTTAAATGTTCTGGGGGGAAACACCATATAAGTTTTTTTACTTCAGTTTCCTCCATTCCTTGCTACTTATTCAGAAGACATGAATTATATAATTGTATTTTTTTTATTGCCAGAAATAACTTTATTGTATTTTATTATATTGTATTGTGTCAATCAATCAATTAATCAATCAATCAATTAATCAATCAATCAACTAATTAATTACTGTAATGCATTCTGAAACGGTGAAAGCTCCTGGATCTGAACCTGCTTCCAGTCCAGGATAGACAAGCTCTATCAAATGCTGCCTGTTACCTCCCAATTCCTCTAATCCTAAGTACTGTAAATGTTATGAATCTGCCATCCCTATGCTGTGCTTCCCACGTCAAATGTACTTTGTTTCTGGTCATCTATCTCTATTGAAACGATGTGGCGTCCTGGAATCATTGCAAGGCCTAATGTTCGTGGTTCTTCTTTATTGTTTGAATCTGAAAAAAATTGTTACTTATGATTACTACTCTCTATGGCAAATAAGTTGGAGAACCAAAATGAATTTTTGACTTAACACTGAGAGCAGCACACAAACTATTTTCTGAAAACCTTCATGCACTGCCTTTACAAAAATTTATGTAAAGATAATCTGTGCTAAAGACAAGTCAAACCAGTCACTCGTCACCAAAATCGATTTCTGGTTATTAATACAGGGTTCAAAAGTAAAATGAGAGCTATAAAATGGTAAAAAATCATTTAAATCTGACATTTCCTTATAAAGTTACAAGCGTTTAAACATAGAGCTGTTTGAAGAACAATATTTGAGAAATCAGCCTTCAAAGTTTATGATTTCAGGCATTTCTCAGGCAGAAACCATCACCAAATCGTTAAAAATTATTGTTTTAACATTGAAAATGGGGAAAATAACAGCAAAGCATAATGTATAGGTATATAAAGGTTAATTTAGTGCAATAAAATAGATTTAGACATTCCAGCATATTTTGGCCATTATCTCTGAAACACAATTTGCGACGAGTGACTGGTTTGGCTTGTCTTTGCCACATATGTGTAGACAGGCTGCACATATAGGGTCACAAAAATATTTCTGTGGGACATTAAGTAAAAAAGATAATGTTTAATTAATGGAAATGAAATTGAAATTGTAAATGATATCAAATATTTAGGTTTCACTATTAATAGTCAGGGTACATAAAACACAATTTGAAAAGTCATGACAGAAAAAGGGGGAAAAATGCAATAATTTAGGTTTCAATTCTGTTAAAATTTAGGAAATGTTAATTGAGATGAAAATCCTCTCTATTATTTTATACAGGTATGAAATATGGGGAAATATAGAAGGAAAAGAAATTGAAAATATACACATGAAACACTGTAAAATACACATTTAATGTTCAACAGTCGTGTCCGAACGAGGGCGGTCACGCCCCTTTTACCCCAGTTTTTAAATATTCAAAAATCTGTATCCCGTTCACCGTTCCCCAGTTTTTCGTCAAACAACTTTTTTCTGTCTTAGAAAAATCAGTTCTACAACATATCAAAAATTTTTTTTCCTCCGGAGCCTGACTTTAATAGGGGTTCTACTGTACTTTGAAGTACCATATAAATATACACAAAAAATTCAGAATTTGTTGGGCAAGAAAACTTATGCTATTGGTGGAAGTATTGTCCCATTTCATTCTTTTCATTTTTTAATTCATGATTGCAGAATGGAAAAACTTAAAAATATGTATTTGCAACTGTAAACATGTTTCAGCCAATGGTGGGAAAAAAAATAGAGAGGGGCGTGGCAGCCAGTGCATGGCAGCCAGTGTTTTAACTGAAAAATAATACAAGATTCAAGATGTTAACATTTTTAACAAGATAAAAAGATAGTTGCATGTCACCATAATGTGATAAAGAGTAATAATTTTAAAATTATAGTTTTACCATAAGGCCCAACATATTCTTCACAAGTTCCTAGAATCACATTGCGATCTTTGTCAGTACACAAAAAGATACCAACCAGCGTTCGCCCATCGCTAATTTTAATTTTCATGGGACGATTCAGCCATGTTTCCAGCTTTTTGCGGAGTTCAGTGACTGCACATTTTGAAGCATCTTTTCCCCTCTCTTCAATCTAAACAAAATGATACAAATTGAAAATTTAAAGTTTATCTTCAGGCAACAGCAACAGTTCCTTGTTTTAATGTCAAGTCCAAGTCTCTTGCAAGTTGTAAGAGCCTCCGAAAAAATTGGGACTGCCTCTCACACTGCTGCCAGCAATAAATACTGTACCATTGATGCTAGATTATTCCGAATCTGGTATCATGTATTGCTTTAATATCCAAAAAGATTCACAAGAAATAGGGTACAATTACAGACCAATACTACTTTAAATGTATGCAAACAATTTGGAAATTCAATTTGCTTGTTAACAAACTTTTCACGAATTTGATGCCGTCAGCATCACAGACGTAGACGAACATACTGCAAAGGTTCCTATTGCTTTACAGCATAGTAACCAAAAATGACGACAGCCATTAATTGGCTACAGAAGCATTAGGTATGGGATCCGGAAAAGATAGATGAGCATATGGCCCATAAAAGAGCAGTACTACCTAGGCATTGGGCCTAGGCCTACAGTATATCTATTCAATAAATTGTTTTGTTTCAATATTTTTTATTAAATTATTAATAATACTAATTTTATTATTGTCATCATATCATCTAAAGAGTGTCATTTCTCTTTCAGACAGCAGTAAATGTGGCTAATTGTGGTTAATAGACCTACAGTAGGCCTACACTTTCATTCAGTATTCCTCTTGCTCTTCATTTGTGATAATTCCTCTTTCACAGTCTGGGTTATATTTTTGTATTACCAGCCAGGCAGAAGTGGCACTCCACACTTCCCTGGGCCCGCCTTAATAACTTTACGGTCATGTTAATTATCGTCAACAACCATCAAGAAACGTTGTTGACAGTAATTAGTATGCGTGTACATTAATACTAATTACCTTCAACAAGTGTTGTTGACGGTACTTAGTATAGCAATACTAATTACCATCAACAACTGTCATATGTCCTGTACAATTTAGGCGTCCTGTGATATACACAGGGCCTACATAGGCAAATAGATTAATAATAATATTTATAATGATAATAATAGTATTAATATTGATGATAAATAATAATAATAATAATAAATGATAATAATATTTATAATAATAATAATAATAATTACTGTCAATAACCGTCATACAATTAGCGTCCTGTGATATACTCAGGGTCTACATATAGACATATTTACACATAGGACCTTTATTACATTTAGACCCAAAAATTACTACACTTAGAGCCTTTATTACATTTATTTAGACCCTAAAATGATTACACATAGAACCAGTATTATATTTAGACCCAAAAATTATTAAAATCAATCAATCAATCATGGCCATTATTACACTTAAAAAATTGCATTTAGGACCTACATATATTTATACATTCTTTCATAATGTACATGTTCTGCTGCCTTCCTTTTCCCTTCTTTCACGGGCCATCGAACCCCGGCATCGAACTTGTCATACTGCTGTACAATAGTGGAGCCTTTCGCTCTACAAATAAGTTCTGAATGTCTGACGCTTGATTTTGATTTACTAATTCTGGCAACACCAACTCATAAAGTTTGAATTTTGGCAACAGCATTAGGCTCGATCGCCAATTTCGCCATAGGAGTTAGGCGTAAAAGCCGTGGTTTTTAGTAATAAAATGCTAACAACCGACGTTATTACTGAATGAAGAAGCATCGTAAGATATTGTTAGGAGCACGCAGTAGGTAAAAAGACAATTTTTGCATTAGGACTGAAATGTATCAAAGTTAACTTAGTATAGTTCGTGTATTTAAACATCTTCTAACTTCAGAAATGCCCCCCACCCCAAGTAATGGCGTCGACAAAAGAGGGCGACGTTCAAAAAAGTTCTCTTGGATTCGTCTCCGCACAACGGCCACACGTTCGGTCCGAACTAGCTAGGCTAGGCACGCCACTGATCTATTATATTAATAGGCCTTTTTCACGAATGCATATACCTATTTTAATACACTACTGAGATAGGCTTTTATTTTTCAATCTTGATTTCAGATGTCAAAAAAAATTTTTTTCAATCATATAGTGGTGTAGACTAGTCTTTTAAGAACATTTTGCTGGAATTTTTTTTGGATACGACGCCCCGTTATAGAGTTATGATTTTTTAAATAACATGATGTAAAAAAATCCGCCCAAAAGCTTATCTTATTTCTGTTGGTTACGCACCGCTGATTCGCAATGTTTGTCATCACTTCAAGATGTCTACCGATTCGTGAAAAAGGCCTATACATTACTATAAATAATAGGCCTAGGCCTAGCTAGGTAGAGATCAGTGGGCTAGTACTAGTAGTACTAGGCCTAGTAGTAGTAGTAGTAGGACTATATATAGGCCTAGGCCTAAACATCGGCCCACGCTGTTGGCAATACGCATTGGGTGGGGTAGGCCCTATAGAGTTACCATTATATCCTAAATATCATAGCCGGCGATCCATACCTCAGGTGGATGCAATTCTTGCATTTATACTCTCGATTTCTGTCTTTTCGAGCTGGTTCTAGCCGTGTGGCGGAAATAAGGGAAAATCCCAGCATAGCCTCTGTCATTCCTTAGGTACACAATGGCTTAAAACATTATTGTATGATAATTCTTATCACCTTGTTAATATACTGATACTAGGCCTATTTTATTATATTTTTACAAAATACTTTTAGAAAATTATACAACGTGCTCTTTTTTTATTTAGTTTTTATAAGCAAAATAATCTTAAAGTACCAGCGATTTTGGAAAGGTCAAAAGTTACTTAGTGTTGTCAAGACGATACAAACAACGCAAAAGGGAGAATGATTTCGAATGTTTGATTTTACATAATAAATGGTAAAATGAGGCCAAGATATTTTACTCCTAACGAAGTCCTTATCCACAGTACTTTAAAAGATATTTGGGTATCATTTTTGGGCAAAGTTTACGACTTGTCATTATTATGTGAAAAATATGCAGGTAAGGAAATAATATTTAATAGGCCTAGGCCTACCTACCTAGGCCTAGGCTAGTAGAGTCTACTAGGGCCTAGAGAGTAGTGTAGGCTAGGCCTACTAGGACTAGGCCCTAGACCTAGTATGTAGTAGTAGGCCTAGTAGTAGTAAGTAGGGTAAAGTACCTAGGTAAGCCTAGGGGTCCCCAGGCCTAGGCTAAGCCTACTATCTAAATAAGGTTCAATCAAGTGTGAGCACGGGAATAAGTATTTGTTTGTCTGAGACTGAGAATATGTAGGGTAGGACTAGGCTCTGTGGCTATGATGATGTGCATGGTGGGTGTAGTACTATTATTAGTAGGTAGGGCCATACATAGATAGTAGAAGGCGGCCTAGACCTACTAGCTAGCTAGCCTACTAAAAGGAGGGAAGGTTTCCATGGACCATGATACTCCTTTTTATTTA